AGATAAGATCATTTAACCAAATAATTGAAAGCAGTTAGCTGTACATAAATCTGCCCATCCTGGGGCAGGAGATGGCAGTTCCTCTGAGTTCTGAGTCTTTGGGTTTATCAGGCCATTTGAATATATTCCCTTTCTCTGTTTCTGGAATGGGACTTATTGGAGCTTCCACTTCTCTGCCACCTCCAGAAACGGTGAGAGATCTCTTGCCTTGAAGGCTGTCTGGAATACAGACATGGTTCACCCCCACTGAAGGCTCCAGTCTCTAAACCCCAGTTATGTGCTTGATAGCCTGCCTGCTTTTGTGTAGCACCACATGTCCTACCTCCCTGTTCTCTGCTCTCACTTCATCGATGTGCTACTCAGACCATAAATCCTCAGTTTCCTTATCTTCCTATATTGTTTGAGTTTCAAGTTAGCCTGACCCCATTAAATCACAGTCAACTGACTTCTCTTCTGTTTGTCATCCTCCATTTTAACATAAGTAAGACAAAGCATAGTATACTGGTACATCAGAAAAGGTCCTTCGTGAGAGACTGATAGAGATATTGGGAATGCAAACTGTAAAAATTGTAGCTATATGATAAGAAGAATAACCCTAGAATAATACTCCAGAGGAAAGACTTCAAGCGTCACCATGTTGGGGAATTTAAATTTGATTACTTAAATTTGGACTAAAAAGAGCTAGTACCAGTAAGGGTGAGCATGAAACTACTGGACCTTTGTAAAATCTCATCTAGTTCTCAGTAGTGTCCTTTTTAGGGAAGAAAATCTGCCTGCCCTACCTGATCTGGCCTACGTGTGACTCTGGATTAACAAAATGTGGGTGATGTTTTCTCTGATTTGGCCCAGCAAGTCACTTAGTTGTACCTAAAACAATGGAAAGCATTTAGAAAAGTGAAGCACAAAGGGAATTAGACCTAGTTTAGAATTCTTTTAAGGTTAACATGCAGGTTGAGTTGGCAGGTAAGGCAAGTTGAATGTTAACAGTCACCAAGAGGGCTAGAATACAAGAGCACAGATTTGTTGCTAAGGCTGCAAGGCTTTGGTCAGATCACATGTAGAATGTTGTGAGGAGGTATGGGCCCCATACTCGGGAAGGATGTGTTGGTGTTGGCGGGGGACCAGAGGGGGTTTGCAAGAATTATTCTTGAGATTAAGGACATGCCATATGAGGAGTTGTTTAGGACTCTGGGTCTGTACCCTGGAGTTTAGCAGGAGGAGGGGGAAGATCTCATTGAAACTTCGGCTACATCCAGGCCTTTCAGTATTCTGTATGTGGAAAAGATGTTTTCACTCGTGCAAGAGACTAGGACCTGGGGTCACAGCCTCAGAGTGAAGGGATGATCCTTTAGAACTGAGATCAGGAATTTCTTCAGCCAGAGAGTGATTAATCTGTGGAACTCATTGCCGCAGAGGACTGTGGAGGCCAAGTTATTGATAGATCAATAGGTTCTTGGTTAGTAAGGGGTTTAAGGGTGACAGGGAGAAGGCAGGGGAATGGGGTTGAGAAACACATCAGCCATGATTGAATGGTGGAGCAGATTCGATGGGCTGAATGGCCTAATTCTGCTCCTATATCTTATGGTCTTATGGAGACACCCTGCCAGAGTGTCACTTGTGATGAGTTGACGCTTCAATGCACACCATTAATACAAACTCGCAGCAAATCCCAAACTAAAGCAAGTTATTTGAAAATAGGCGTGCCACTAGCACTTGAAAGCAATATTGTTTTCACTATTTTAGTTCAATGGTAGGAAATCTGGAGGACGGAAAGAGTTGAAGTCCAAGAGCAACTGTGATTTCAAAGACTAATGCTGAATACCAAATACTGCACCTACATAAGTAATATGAATCTGATGTTTTCAAGTTTAGCACAAACTTCATATGGACCAATTTGACTGCTTTTGCTGTTGAAAGCCACCACAATTCTACTGGAAAATATGTTGATTTCTACATTTGCACCGTTTATTGTTCCTCCTAACTTCGTGTGATGTGTAAACTTGTATATACGACTCTGAATTCCTTCCTACAGGAGTTGTATTTTGGAAGGCTGAGGTCCAGCTGCAGATTCTGGAGGAAGTGTGTTTGTTGCATTTCACCAATGAAAATATTTATTTTACATTCTGTCTCACCTCTCCCATCTAATTATGCTCTAATGCTAGCTCCCAATTCCTCATTAATATTTTTGCCATTCTTTTGTGTACAGAACCTTATATACTTTCTGGAAGTTCATATAGTTAATACTGATAGAAACTTTATCTTGTGAGTGAGCATTTCAAATAATGTAGCTAGATTAGTCAGCTGTGGTACCAATCTCAAATCCATCCATGTTCGCTGCCTTGAACAGCTCATGTTTGTTACAATGACCAGTCACTTTGCCTCTTACTTTCTCATAACTTCCTCTCCTTCCTGTATTAACTAACACTGTGACATTA